AATTTAAAGGCATTATTTCAATGGTTTAAGGGGCTTTAAAGTAGTTCAGTATTGCTGTAAATTATATTGCTTGGGTATTGATTGAATTATTGTTGTTTGGTTTAGGAGAGGACTTTGCAGAGGGCAATTTCTAGTTCCTAAAGTGGCCAACCAACTCGTTTACTCAAGGTACGTACAAGGATACAAAAAATCTTGACTTTAGGAGCATGTTTAAGGATTTGGAAAATTTAGAATCATGTTAGGAAACTTGTGGATTGGTTGAAATTGTATGGTAGTGAGTTTGATTGGTTTTGATTCATGTATGAGAAATGCGTATTGATTTATCTTGTAAGTATTATTTATGCACTAACTTGCAAGATGAGCTAAGAGGCAAAGGTACATGATATGTGGAATGAATTATCTTATTACTCGTTCATGTTTATGAAATGGAATGATTAAAGGGAGAATTAAAGTCTTATAAGACGAGTTTGAGGATTTGAGGTCCCTTATGCACTTAAGGTGTTTATACACCGAGGTAGTTAAAGGATTCAATAATAAAATTTGTTGTCACTAATAAATCAAGAATTGAATTGGAAATTTGAATTGCTTGAATGATTAATGTTTGATTGGTTGCATTGTTTTGCATTTGAGTCATCACCAAGTTTAAACTTGTAAATCACGTAAAGTGCAAGATGGATGAGCAATAAAACACTGGATCTGTGCACATCTAGAGTAATGAAAAACATGGGTTAGGGTACAGGGGGTATTAGCCGTGCACTTTTCTAGAGGTCGTCTGATCTACGAGTCTCTTGTTTTCAAATACTTTTAAAACTATAAGGAGTTAGATGAGATTTCATACTAGCTATGGCCACGGAGTCGCGCCCATCTGCCATTGGATGTTTATTGATGTTTCCGAAAGGAGGCATGGGGTTTTTCTTTTATTGATGTTCCGAATTGGAGCATGGGGAGACAACCTTGTCTATTGCTTAATTCAATGAAAAAAAAATAAATGACATGAAATAATCAGAGCTAATTAGAGAAGTCTTAGTAATATTAACAGTTGAGTCATGTTCTTGAGTCAATTATTAAATTGTTGTGTGTTGATTTTAATCAGTAGGATGTTAGGAATTTTTTGTTATTCTTTGTAGCTTGTATGTACTCAGCGTTGCTGATTGTGTGCTTTTGTGTGTCTTTTCTTGGTCATGGCCTTCTCCTTTCAATGATCTTGTAATGATCCAATTTTTACATTTGTAATATTGGGGAGCAGGTTAATCACAGGTGTTTGCATAGTCTAGACTTACATCAAGGTGGTGGGATTTTGAGTGGAGTGTTGGTTATTGTTCACAGTTTATTTCATTTCATAAGTTTGAATTTATTTAAACTCTGGTTTGATTTATTTACTACTTTTGTTGGGTTTTGAACAAGGGCCTTAATGGTTCCAACTTGTAAGACTTAATTTGGTTTTGTTCATTGGTATTGAAACTTATTTATAACTGAGTTAGTTTTTCCGCTGCTAAATTCTGAATAAGCCTTAACGTTTGAACACGTGGCAGTAGCACGTCAGTAATTCTCTTGGATTTTATTAAAGGTAGGTTTAAAGAGAGAATTATTGGGGTGTTACATTGGAGGGAACCATCACTGCCTTCCCCTTGTTCCCATCCGTTGGGACCTCGCTTCCCCCTCTCAGAGAGGTAGAAGTGGTTTTCGTCCTCGGCTGGGACGGTGCAGGGTAAGGTGCAGTCCCTACGGGGTAGGTGAGGCGACTGTATATGCTCCCCTCCCTAGGGCCGATACGTTCGTGAACGTTTCGGCGGGCAGACTCTTGCCGCGTGGATGCGGCGTTGCTGCTTTTGAAGCTTCGGGGTTCGGACCTCTCGAAGAATTGTGAGTTTCTTTTTCTTTCCCGTTAAGTTATCCAAGTATCTTCATCCCAATGCTCGAGCTCCTTACAAGATGGAACTCACTCTCCCTCCTCTTGCCCTGTTCTCCTCCTTAGGTACCTTGACTGCTCTATGGAGTCAGCGTGTACCAAGGGAGTAGGAGGTAGGAGATGTTGATTCGCTTGATCCTTCATGAAGTCCATGAAGGTAGCGAGGGCTCTTGCCATCTCCTTTGAAGTGGGACCCGTTTAAGACGTCCCCATTGGGCGAGATTGGGAATGGCGGCTAGGAGTTAGACTCCTAGCATTTGACCAGCTCAGCCGCCAAGAGTTGGACGGCTGACCCGTGTTACGAGGTGACTTGTCCGAGGCAACATTCCCTGATGAGGTAGCCTCGGAAGATGATGAAGAAGGTAGTCCCTTCTTCGGGGGCGAAGATGGAATTGGGTCTTTCTTCGAGGAAGAAGGACCATTCTTTTTGGTGCTCTTGGCACTCTTTCCGCTCTTAGTCATGTTGCTAAGATGGTGGATTTTTGGCTTTTTTTTAATGTCTTCCCCACAGACGGCGCTAAATTGTTTCGGATGAAAACAATGGGTCCTTCATCTGGACCTTTTTTGTGGGCTGAATATTGGACTCGGCCCAAGTGATGACTAGGACGAGGATTTCCTGCACAGCAAACATACGTAAACTGGCCTCGGGGGTTGTGTTGAGGAAGTCTTCTTCGATGCCGAAGTCAGTACAATGTTTAGAGAGAGAAAACTATGCAAAAGAATTAATGCCTGTTGCTTTAAGTAAATGAAATGAGAGAGAGAGAGAGAAGTCAAGGATTTTATACCTTAATCAAATAGATAAATTTGGCCTTGAGGTCAAATGGGCTTGCCATGTTGACCGGGCCTTTGACTGACTTTGCATGTATTAGGAGAGTTGAACCTTCTTTTAGGCTTTGTAATTGAATCATTTGTGGACCGGCTCAATTGAAGGAAATTGGACCCAAACACTAACTACATAGAAAAATATGTTTTATTTTATATTGTGTTTAAACCTAGTATAGGAATTAGAAATACATGTGAGAACTAATACAATTATCATCAAAACATATGGCCTACATTGTACTATAGAAAAGATATCCATATTTAATATGGCTTTGTAGGTGGGCATGTCGAGCAAGTATGAGATAAGGAAGAGGCGAGTCAAGTGGTGATGGGGTTGGGGTTGGGCAAGATAACCTAATTTTCTACGATCTGCCCCATCATCTATGGTGAGTGCAAATATTAACTGTGTATTCGTCGTCTCATATCACCCACTAAACCATCTCTATTTTTGAACTTAGGTCTTCACAAAAACTATTCCATTGACATCCTTACCCCTGTCCCTCTATGTTTGAAATTTTTGTTATCAAAGTCAAACATTTTGGATCATATGGGGGTGTTTCGTATGTGGGAATTAGAGCTTGGGAACGAAAATTGAGGAGGTGAAGTATATATATATATATATATATATATATTGCCTTGTTTGTTTTGTGGAAAGGGAAATTATGGTGGGATTGGGAATGAGAATAAAATTGCTCTATTTCCATGAATTTATTACTAAGGAGGGTAAGTAATAGAGATGGGAATTGGGAATTGGGAATAGGGAATAGGGAATAAAACGGAAAAGGCCATTTTGCTATTAATGAAAGCATATGGATATAACATTAGTAAGGGTATTATTGTAAATTTGATATTTATTCCCAATCAATTCCCTTCACAATCCAAACAAGGGATTATCAATATCTTATTGAATTCCCAACCATAAATTCTCAAATCCCATTCCCAACCCTCTAAACCCTGAACTCCCATTCCCACTTACCAAACGTCCAATAAGGATAATATAATACTAGGAGGAAAAGACATGTATACTCTCGATGAAAAAGGAGGAGAGTAGGCTAGGGTATGTAAAGTACATTTATCATCTATTTTCAATTTATTTAAGCTATATACTACTCTAAAACAGAGTCTAATAAATTAGATTTACTCCGTATCATTTCCTAATAAACACATTACGATTGTATATCAAAGATGTGATTCCATTAAATAAATTTAACTTATTGATTATCTTCTTAAAAATTTCTATATATTATAAATTCTTAATACTTTGTATCTTTTTCTATATATTTATTAACTTTAAAAAACTGAGCATGACTTAATATTATTCTCTTTGATGTTTGTTATTCCCATATAAAATATCTTTGTGAGCCCCAAAAAAAAAAAAAAAAAAAAAAAAAGTAAGAAGAGCAAAGTGACGGACAAAGTACCTAAATTTATCGTTATTGTATAAAATTAATTTTCTCCCTCTGTCCCTTTTTGTTCTTCTCATTTGTAATCTTGACACTATCCATAAGGTGAAAGAATATTCTAAATTATTCTTAATATATAAGACATAACATAGTCATGTTGAGTCTAATTTGATTCGTCTTAATAAATAGTTTATTAATATTCAATTGTTATATTTTTCATTAATAAGCAACTAACAATATTTATGGTCAAAATGTTGCATTGGCAAACGTAGACAGTCAAAATGGATGGGAAGAATATTTGGGAACGAAGGGAAATATTAGTACGAATTCTTAAATGGACATGGTTCACACTAATTTATTGTAAACCACTAACATTAGAAACACTATGATTGTTTTATTAATTAAAAAAAAGGGTCATTATGTTAAAATAAAGGTTATTATGTTGAAATAAAAGTAATTGTGACATTACAAAGGCTATAAAAAGTTTTTTTTTTCTTAATGAAAATTTTAATATACTGGTCTATATGAATAATAAAGGTCATTATGTTAAAATTAAGATCACTATATTCAACATAATATCGTACTTTAAGTTCACAATAACATTAAAGGTCACACAAGTTTTAATAAAGTTTATTATGTTAAAAATAAGGTTATTATTTTAAAATTAGAGTCATTATATTCAATAGTCAATATAATGTTAGTTGTGTGTATATAAATTTATGTCCATGTAAAATATTTTGATTTAATCTCCAATAATATCTCAAAATATTCCCTATCCCCTCTAAACAAAGAACCACAATACTAATTAATACAATTTTTTTTTTTTTTTTTTTTGAAAATACTAATACAATTTTAGAATTATATATCCTATATTTTGACCTCTTATCATCCTAAACATACGCCGCATAAATTAAAGAAAAAGAATCACACCTCTCTTCTTTATATAACCCCAAAATTAGCTATGTTATTATCACTCGTACATTTATTAAAATTGTGAGAAAATCTCTCTTTAATCCTACCATTTTTCAAATCAGTGGACATTCATTCAATATGTTTTTGCTATAAATACCTTCAAAATTTAATTCACTTTTTATTATTTTGGTTTTTCTTCTCTCGAAAAACAAACCAAGCTCTATAAATCTATAATCTCACATGATGTTACTTTGTCTCTCTGTTTTTCTTTCCAATGTGAGATAAATCAACAACCCTTTTAAATAAGAAACACAAACACCCCATTTTGATTTATTTTTTCCCTTCGAAATCTTCATTTCTTTCTTTAAAAAAAATGATCTTTTTCTTTTTCTTTCACCTATAAATTGAGGAGTGAAACCTGATTTTTTTGGAATGAAACCTGATTCTTTTTCTTTCACCTATAAATTGAGGAGTGAAACCTGATTTTCTCTCTGTTTTTCTTTCCAATGTGAGATAAATCAACAACCCTTTTAAATAAGAAACACAAACACCCCATTTTGATTTATTTTTTCCCTTCGAAATCTTCATTTCTTTCTTTAAAAAAAAATGATCTTTTTCTTTTTCTTTCACCTATAAATTGAGGAGTGAAACCTGATTTTTTTGGAACCTTCGTCCCCAATTTACACGTTTTTTTCATTTTTCATAATTAATTTTCTTTAAAATAAAATCTACTCCCTTTTATTTTCTTTCAATTGCGTATTTCATCATCTGGGTATTACTGATAAACCTGAAATTAGTTATTTTAATATTTGGGTATTGTCAAAAATCTAAAAATTTTAACTGGGTATTGCTCAAAACACTCAAAGATTCAATCTTGTTTAAAAATAAAATAAATAAATACATATAATAATGGGGAAAGGTTTAGAAGGATGGTCAGTGAGGCATTTATTAATGGTGTCAGTAGCTTTGAATGTATGGTTAGTGCTAAAGTTAGCGTATTATGATGGAAATACCAATTTTGCTACTGAAAGGATCTTTAACGGATTTTGTGCAAATGAAAAGCTTCATAAACAATCTCCTTTTACTTCTTCTTCATCTTCTTCACTGGCGGTTGCTGCAGGAGAGAAGAAAGCTATTACTGTTGATGATGGAAGAGTTATTAACCTTGATCAGTAAGTTCTTCATTCCTTTTTTGTCCTTTCTCTGCATTATTACGAGTATTAGTCGTACTATGGCAACGATGTAGATGTTGTATTATCCCTAGGTTGTATGATGTTGGTTGATTTCACTATCTAGGAAATCTTCTAATTTTGGAGTTTTTCTAATTAGCTTCTTTTTATGGGATTTGCATGGTGGGATTACTGTTAATTGATTGACTATGTTAAGGAGAGGGGCACATTGTTGGAGGAAAAGGGGTATACACTCATTAGAAGATTGTGTTATTATTAAATAAAGGGTATTTTTGACATTTTCACCCTAATTAAGTTGAAATAGAGTACTATTTGATGTAAGATTTGATTAATATATGTATGAGTCTATCAACTTAGGATTAATTTTTAACTAGGGATGTCAATGAACATTAATTGATCATTGCATGGAGGAAGTTGCTTCCTAATTTGTTAATAGTTTGCTTATTTTTAATTTTCTCACTTAGAAAAGCAGGAAAAATAATCTTTTTCTTGGTTGACCCCCCAAGTCCATCCATGGATTCCAACCATATTAAGCTAAGTAACACGAGTTCCTAAGCTTGTTTCTACTTTTACATATTTATTTGGGGTTTCTAGATAAATGTTCTTAGTTTTTAAGGTGCATGGTTTTTTTTATTTATTGATTGGTTTTTTCTATTTCTTAGGAAGTCTTGGATTGGTTTTAATCTTGACTTATGATGCTTCCATTAATGATTAGAATTAAGGTTGAAAGTTGGAATCTCAATTTGGATGTGGACATTTCATTCAATCGGGCCCCGTTCTCTTCAACTAATTTTTACATAGTGAAGTCATGATGTTTATTGCTCAAAACTGATTTTTGCTGATTGTCACTGGTTTATAATGAACAAAACCTATTTGTATTACTTAATTTTTTTTTTGATTCATTAAAATAGATTTTTGCTGATTGACGGCTTGTTTTTGTCATACTTTTTTCTAATCAAAACTTATCAATTAAGTTGTGTTAAATTCACTATTCCAATGAAAAAGGACTAGAAGTAATCAAATGTCCTCGCTTTGGATTTGGGGTTTACTCATCTGATACCACATCATTCAAATCCAATATGGATTGAAAAGAGATGGAGTTTCTAAAAGATATTCATCCTCAAATCTTCCTTTAAATGTTAGGTTTTGTATTAAAATGAAATACACATGCACATCTATACAAGTTCTAGTTAACTTCATTCAAAATTGAACAAACTCCTATCATGGTTTGGGTATGAAAGTATACCTATTTGATATGCTCTTATGATTCATCTGGTGTAAGCTAGTAATTTGTGGAAAAAGTAATGAATTTTGTGAGTACTTTGGTAGTTTGTGATGGAATGTTCCATATGGATGTCTAAAGTAATGCTTCTCCACTGCAATATGTGTAATTTACATTGTTTACATCATATCCACCCTATCTCGATGTTGATAGTATTGAGGTACGTAGAAATCCCATAAAAAATCAAATTTCTTAGACATCCAACATACGTAGACACGTAGTACCATACTACTATACATGTAAAGTTATGCACTAGTTTCAATATCATATTTTTGGTTAAAGTCCTTAAATGCATTATTTAGTGGCCCTAGGTCTCAATCCAAACATGGGAAATCTGAATTTGAGGTTGTCAAAAACTCGTGAAAATGAGGTTGTCGAAAACATGATTTTTTTGAAGTTTACAAAGTCCTACTAATTACCTAACAGTTAGACAACTTGTAGGGAGCGAATAAAACCATCACTAATGCTTACTCATTAAGGGTACATTTAAGACTTTCCATTCCCTCACCACCCTTACTTGTCTAGCTAGTTAAGCAAAAAAACTTCTTTAGGCTTTGCAAATCTCACCTCATTGACTTACCTCTTGGTTCAATCATTAAAAATCTTATTTTATTTTCCAAAAAAGTCTCGGTGATAGGTGCCTTTCAATGAAACAACTTTTGGCATAAGTTATTAACAAGAAAAGAAAGGAAATTGCATTGGGATATCCTTTGTAGGAGAAGTATTTCCAAATTCCAAGCATAAGGATGATGTTGGAATTGCGTTTTCCAAGTGCCTTTTGTGCTGCCATAGACAAAGACAAGTCCTTTCTTTGAGGTTCAGATTCCCCATGGTGCGTGCTAGAATTTGGCAGCCTTCTTTGTGCTTAGAGCTTGCCTCCTTCCTCTTAAAAATCTTTGATCTTTGCTCTTTTTCTCTCTCTAGTTTCTCTCTAAAACATGCTCCCATTTTTGGGCATTGGGGTTGGGCCATGGGGGTGGTGGCCTATTTGACCTGCACAAGCTACAATGATTGTGTCAGTGACTCAGTGATGTGTGCTCAGCATTGGACCTCAAACTCTTCAAAGTTCCATTTGATGATTTTAATGTTACATACACTTAATAATACAATAATTGTATAATAACCTCCTAAAAATATGGTAAGGTGAATAAAGGCAAACTTTTGTTACTTCTACCTGTATTCTTTCTACTACAATAATATTAGCAAGATATAGAGTATTGAGTTGGTATATGCATGAACTTGCCTTTTTTGGGACTTTACACCCGATAACACTTTCTTTTGTTGTCTTTTGGCCTCTTGGGAAAATCTAAAGATTAAAACGCGCCGCCTTAAGCTCGTGAACCACCACTCAAAAAGAAACCCCATCTTTGCTCATATGTGAGCTTAAGCCCCTTTATGTATATGGGGCATAATATTTTTGGGTCCTGTCTAAGGTATCCAATCATAGAGGACGATATCTCTGTCTTTTCATTGTTGATTTGCTTTGAATATGGTCGTGGTAGTTGTGATGTTTCTGCTTGATTCATGTATGCATTACAAAGTGCTAGCATTTGGAAAAAAGTCATCTTTGTAGTACGAAACGTTGTTCTAATTGGAATTCCAGTCACTTTCTAATACTATTCGTATGGCTCCCCCTTGTGCACTTAGTGATTTAAAACGAACATGTGGCCATACTTTTTTTTTTTGCACATATTCAATCATTAAATTGATGGAGTACTTTGGGTCCACCTGTTGTTGGGCTTCCATACCCCTCCATGCATGGAATATGATCACTAAATGGTCTATAAAGTAAACTGGTAAGAAGTATGTATGTGCTTTTTTCTTGTGGGAGCTTTAGCACTCAAGGTTTTGAATTATTTTCTATTATTGGTGGGATCGACCAACACTAGGAACTCATTAATTAGCTGAACAGAGATGAACTTGATGTATAACTTGACCTTGATTCTCCTACTGTTGATATTAAACTTCTAAAAAAAATTTATACTTCCTCCGTCCCAGTTGTAAGTCAGCATTGCTTTTAGTTTACGAAGATTCAAAAGGGAGAAAACATAAAGAGAGGATGTGAGTCCTAACTTTTGAGAGAAGGCAAAGTGGATAAACTTACCTAAACAAGCTTGTTAGAGTTGATGCATATTTTTGGAGAAGTTGTGAACTTACAACTAAAATAAATGAAGTACATCTGTACATCTCTATAGCAAATATTTCCTTCCTTCATTTTCAGTATCTCTGTTGCACCTCACTTATGTAGATAGCCATGACAATAGAGTCTAGCTCAGAGGCACCTACAAGGGAGACAAAAATGATAACAAAATTTAATTCATTACTACACAGTACCGATGCTCATAGGATCCTTAATATAATCTGATCCCATTTTTGTGTCAAAAAGATGTTCATAGGATTCTTTAGGAAATTGTTTATAATGAAGTACAAATAATTGATAACATTACCACTTTATTGTGACTAAATGAGGCTGTGCAAGTTGTTACTTATTTGTCAACTGTTTTCATTTGGATTAGAAATGTGGTGAACGTATAAGCAAGACACTCTTTGAATCCTTGTGTTTTTATGAAAGTAACAAGCATGAATAGTTTATGCACATAATTTCAGAGTTGCATCTGCACTGTGTGCAAAATTGTAATGAACCAGTCACCACAATGAAATTTGATACTGATTTTTGCTGTTACACTTTGCCAATACAATGAAATTTGAGCACCATGCTCTATGAAGCTACAAGTTAAAAGTAATTTTATGCTAGTATTTATAAGTGCTTGACAATTGAAAGTCTAATATCTGTAATATGATCTAATATTCTAGCATGGAGAGAGGCATTATTGTGGAGAGTGATTTCCTCTAAGTTATTGACTCTCTAAAGTTTAGCACTTTTGTTTCTGAAATCTATTTTTTTTTTTTTTTTTTTTTTTTTAAAAATAAAATAATGTTTTAGGTAAGATTGTTAGTTTTAAAGTCCTTGTTTAGTTTATGTTTATGGAGTCATGTTCGAGGGGAAGGTACTAGGATCACTCATCTTTTGGATCACTAATCCCCCTTTGATTTTATTTAATACTCGAGTTTGGGTGGAATGATGGATGAGTGTCTAGAAGCGGTGATGGCATTGTATCAGATGATTCTTGTGTGTTTAGATTAAAAAAGTCACACCCTCTGAGTTCTAACTAAAAAAAGGCACAATTTATTAATGACTGACAATTTGGCCTCTAGTATTGTGAGCAATATTCAAATCACTAAAGTAGGGTGATTAATCAAAGAACATGGTTTCATTAAATGCGGCGTGTAGATATTATGGCTGGTTATTCAATTAGGTTCATGAGTTATTAGGAAGAATGATATGTTTTCACTCATCATGGCCTTACGTGGATTATTCTAACTTTATTTTTTTGTCTGGTTGCATATCAGTGGCGATCCGACAATGTATGAGAGGTATTGGCAACAAGCGGGAGACAAAACATCACTTTTGATCTCGGGATGGCATTCTATGAGTTATTTTTCTGATATCAAGAACCTTTGTTGGTTTCTAGAACCACAATTCGCAAAGGAGGTTATACGATTGCATGATATTGTAGGAAATGCTGTCACAAAGGACCGGCACATTGTGGTTGGCACTGGCTCAACACAGCTGTTCCAGGCTGCATTATATGCTCTCTCATCACCTGGAGGGACAAAGCCAATAAGCGTGGTTTCTTCTACACCGTATTACTCTGTGAGTTAACCACATGTTCTTTTTCTTCTCTTAGAATCATGAGTTGTGATTTGGCTGCTGTTATTCTTAAAATCTTCTAATGACCATAAACTACGCTTGATTCAACTGCACTTTTTCCGCTCCACATCAATATATTTATCATAAGACAAAACTCAGAACTTGTGAACATGAATTGAATTGATTTAAACCCCTTCAATTTCAAATTATTTGTTGAACTGGTAGCATGCTTGCCAGTACATGGCCTATGAGTGGGAATTCAGGTAGCGCTCTCTTCAATTCACCTGAATTATGAGTTGGGGTGTCAACTGCCTTCTTTGAAGAATGAATAAAAAAAGTTCAATGTAGCCACAATTGTTAAGGTGACGAGGTTAGAGTTATAATATAGCTTTTTCTCTAGGCCTTTAAAATGAGAATGCTAATAATATCTGAGGTGAGCCTTCCTGGATATAAATAAGATTTTGCGAAATCTAGTACATATATATAGAGGATTGTCATGTCACAATTATTAGCAGCAGAGTTTAGGAAATAAGTAGATACAAGCTGTGTTAGACTTCAAAATTTTATCTAACCTTTACATCAACAGAAAGAACTTGAACTATGCTTTATAATTAAGGTGCCATGCAAGTATTGTTTAGTCAATCTTTTACCTCATGCTTGCACGAGTGTATTTGACACTAAGAATTAGTGACCAACAATCTGTCAATGATGTTTCTGCTTCTAGATCAAAAAAGTCAAATAGGGGTGGAGGAAATGGAAAACTTTTGTTTTGATGAAACATTATCATGATGTTTAGAATCTTAATAAAGTTAAAGTTTCTTGTCTACTATACTAATAATGAAATTATGCATAAGACAAAATTGATAAGTAGATGTCTCTTTCTTTTCTGTTCTTTTCATTTTTCATTATGTGAGTTTCTTAGGATTGACATTTACATTACATAATCATGAGCCCTATTGTGTTTCCTTCCTAGCTTCTTGTTTCCTTTGTATGTGGTCATGAATGTCTCCACTTGAACTACATGAGAAATTTGGACTTGATAAAGTTGCATTACTTGTATTTAAACTTCTAGGCTTAGTGGATGATAGCAAAGTTTGATTTTGACAAGCTAAAAATAATTCTTTGATTGCTATTGTGGTGTATTTCCACCCCAATTCTTCGGCTTATGATATCCTACCCATGTCAGACGTGCATCTGACACCTCAGTGGACATGGATACTTGGTTCTTGATCCTTCAAATGCAGGATAGATCCCAGATAAATGGACCTGTATTTTACACTTAAAAAGAATAACGTTGGAAGTTTAATGATCACAGACGAGCAATAAAGCAGAGTATTACCAAAGATAGATCTGCTTAGTGGAGTCTTGACAACTTGACAAGAATAGATAGCAAGTTCATGTTACTGTGAATAAGGAAATTTTTGTATATCGGATGCTGATAATCTCTTTAACTTTCAGTTTTACCGCCAAGTGGTCGAGTATCTGAAGTCTGGGCTCTACACATGGGCTGGTGATGCAGCCATTTTCGATAAAGATGAGCCTTACATTGAGCTGATCACTTCTCCTAACAATCCAGATGGGTTTATGAGACAACCTATTGTCAATCGAAGTGGAGGGATGTTGATTCATGACTTTGCTTATTACTGGCCACAGTACACTCCTATCACTTCACCAGCTGATCATGAAATTATGTTGTTCACTGTCTCTAAAACCACTGGACATGCTGGAATGCGTATTGGGTAAGCAGCTGTCTTAACTCCTGAGATTCCACCTAAACATTGATTTTGCATACGTAATTTTAGTGACAAAGGTTCTTGCAATTTGTTAGATTTTAATATAGTCTATAATTGTTAATCATTATTGGAAAATGAAACTGTTGCATAAGGCATAAATATAATTTTTGTACAAATCAAAGCATGCATATCCTAAATTTTTTTGGTGTTAATTAGTCAATCTCTTGTCTAAGACCTTCAGGCACTATATTATTATGTTTTCCTTTAATTTATACTCCAATTTTCTCATACTCTTTAATCCTTACTTGATATGGGCCAATTACCCTGATCTCTGGAGATGTATCACTTCTTGTCTAAAAGCTAAATAAAACATACATATAAGATGAATGTCTTCGAGTTTTTCTTGCAAAAAAAGATGTTAATAATTTTCTCATGAAAGTGCAAATGCTATGCTGCAGCTGGGCTATTGTCAAGGATAAAGAAGTAGCTAAAAGAATGACCAAGTTCATAGAGTTAAATAGCATAGGAGTTTCCAAGGATTCACAGCTTCGAGCAGCAAAAATTTTGCAGGCTGTCTCGGATAGCTGTGAGCCTGCTGGTGATAGCCGGAACTTTTTTGAGACCAGCTATCATCATGTAGCACATAGATGGCAGCAGTTGAGAAAGGCAGTGGAAGAGAGCAGGCTTTTCAGTACTCCTGAGTTCCCAGCTGCTTTCTGCAATTACACTGGTCGATTGTTTAGTACCCAACCTGGTAAATTCATCCTCTGTTAAAATTTCTGACCCTTGCTGCTAAAAACTCATGGCACTTTCTGATCATCATATTTATGGTTTTTCAGCCTTTGCATGGTTGAAGTGCAAAGATGAGATTGAAAACTGTGAAGACTTCCTCCGAAGCCACAAGATTTTGACAAGAAGTGGAAAACATTTCGGCATGAGCCTCAAATTTGTGAGGATAAGCATGTTAGACCGAGACTCAAATTTTGATCTATTTATTAAGAGGTTGTCAGAAATGCGCTTATGAATCTGAGAATTGATTTCCAGGGAGAGGAAGAGAAGAATCTCCAGACTTAGTATATTAGCAAAAATTGACCTTCAAGAACACTTTCTAACATGTATCTCTGTTTTAGGGCTCTTAAGCCTTGAAACTCATATAGCTTCTAGTAAAGTTATAATATTCCTAGAGAATTTTTTTAGGTACATGGGATATAAGAGTAAATGTAGGTTGTAGGACTACTGGATTGGGTTGTGAGTTTATACCCTTTGAACTGCAGTAAACAGAAATATGCAGGATGAATATACACAAATAATTTGCATGCCATAGATAAGGCGGCATATATTGCATTACACAAGCACATCTCTCACCTTGGTCGAGCGTTTGAATATGAAGCTTGCTGTCACTCTTGCTTGGATTTGTAGTCACAAAAATCTTTTATATGTTTAGCAGGCCAATACAGTATAAATTGAGCATATTGTACAATAAAAATGAGCATATGTTTATACTTGCAGCATAGTTGTCTGCCCTCTTTTAAGACTGTAGTCTATTGGGTTCGTTGTTGGGCTTTTTTAATTTGCGGTTAATAAGGTTTCATGTTCTCTGTCTTTCCTAACTGGGTTTGCATTGTTCGATGATTTTGGTTGATGCTCAGTCTAGCTTCGTTGCCAAAAAAGAAAGCTCAGCCATCTCAAGTGAAAGTATAATTTATAGGACATTCCTGTTTCTCTTTACTTTTACTTCAGAATTTTAAGAGCATGCATCAAAAAACCAGGACTGCAAGAAAGTTTTACAGGTAGAGCAAGTGTCAATAATCAATTTTCTTTCACAGATACACATTTCCTAAAACATACAGCATGTATATGCTCAAAAATAAGCTAGAGTTCTGATGTTTGGAAGTATGATTATTAACCTCGCGAAAACAAATCCAAGTTGCTGTGGTTCATATGCGTATGGTAACAAAATATGTTCATTCATGACAGCAAATTTGTGCGTCAATCAAGACAAAATTGTTTCCTGTAGATAATATTTCACCAATCAAAACTTGTTCATGGCCTAATGTCATTTTCCAAAGCTAGCTAATCATCGATTTGACTGCTGGTAGCGGCAACATCTATTAAAATTGTTGATGCACCAAATTGATATGCGATCTTGCAATGACTGGCCATCCTTCAAACAACAGAAATTGAAACTGTGAGGGTTGCAGACAAAAGACCAAACTTTGCAAAAATATTTCATATATATTGAGGAAGGATTACAATACTTACTTCTGATGTTAATGGATGGCCTAGCTTCTATTCACATGCTGGAAGTAGCTTTCAGAGCAAACGTATCTCATATTCACCTGCTGCTGTTATGTATCTTACCCATGGCAGACTCTGGTATCCACTTTTTTCAATAACCTTTAGATACCTCACCTGGAAAAACCAACAATCACACGTTCATATAAATAAGCTCTTACTAAGCTGATGACACCAAAATGTAGTGAGTCTAGTAATAGAAAAGTGAAGATAGAACAAAGAACCTGGATTCCTGAGATGGTAAAATAAGGTATCTCAAACTTGACACGCATGGGTGCTTTTCTCTCAGGAAGGCCATCATCAGAACTTATACTAGGAAGTGTGAATTCTGCCCTCAAGAGATACTCCTAAGAAAGTTGAGTATAATATATATAAGTCTTAATGGCACTCCCAAAACTGCAGCGCGTTCAGTAGATATTAAGTCTAACCTTATTTCCAGGAAAAGATCTGATTTTCCATTGAATTGCATCATTCTCAGGTTTATATGTTGCAGTTCCCATTGATGTCCGAATTTTAGGATTTGTAGCATCAGGTGGAGTAGGCAAATCGATCTCAACATTGTTTGCGTAGCTGATGACAGGTAACACAACAAGAAGCCCAATAGTTAGATATAGTAATTGTAACATGGTTCTGTCTAGCAGTATATAAGCAAATGAATTGTCCTGAATTCATTCTAACCTGCAAATAAAATGTTCATTGTTACAATGATAGTATACTAGCTCGAAAGAGATAAGTACCACATGCCAAGAAATTAAGAAATTATTATTGCTCTATGGTGAATTTAATTTTTAAGAAAGAAGCTTAAAAATTTGTGCCAAACAGCTGATAAACTTTATGTCCTGATGCTTCCCACGCATATTTAGATCAGTATGAAGAAATGGCAAAAAAAAAAATCCAGAGATGTACCTTCGGTCTTTGAACTGACTCTTCGCTTTGATCATGATCTCAACACGACTTTTTGAATACCTTTCCACTTGAGTTTCAATCCAAATAAGTGGTTTCACCTAATAGCCGACAAATGCTTTATCTTAGAATCTATACTTGTTATCAGACAGAACAGAAACCACAAACAGGAACTTTAAAGTTCAAAATCTGCATCTCGTGCAAGAGAACTTAAGAGTGAGCAATTATGGAATTCAGTCATAAACAACTATACAGCAGAAAGCAAGATAAAAAACCTGAGTGCTTAGTCGGTATGTCATCAAGTCGAAGGACCCATCAGGAGGTATGAAGGATATTGTTCTGTCATTCTCAAATCGTGCCAAACGCACACACCTGAAGAAGACTGTAGCTATCAGAAACTCATAATAGAGTGACTCAGAAAATCGAAGTATACATGATCACAAGATGGGGTTCAGTTGATAAGGGTGAAACGTTTTGTGATAAAGTTCAACTGCTTGTAAAAATCAAACATAAACACCCCTGTAAAAATGGGATAAGCCATGAGCACATACTGATGAAATTTGATGTCCTCCATGTCAATTGCTTTTCCCTTTGTCGTTTGACCTTGAGCCTCCAATAGAACTCTATCGTTTAGGCCAAGTTTACATTCAGGCATACCACTGCATCAAATATTCAAGGGTCAATCTATTAGTCTAAAGAAAAGAGTAGTTAAGCAACCAAATCTTTGAGATTAAACCACATTAAGCAACATTTCAACATCCTAAGTGCCAAAAGAATATTTTTACCAAGTATATATATGCTCTATAGTATATTATGAGAAAAGAGAGGCCAAATATTGAATAAACAGCTCAGCTCCCCCATGAAAAGGACCAAGAGTACGATACAGAGGTTACACGTATGCTTTGGTAACATTGACTTGACAATGTACAAGTGACTTGAAAATGAGATGTTGGAATACATCTTAAACAAGAGAAGAGAAGATGTTTCTTCACCTCAAGTATGCTCTCATTTTCAGTGCCCCAATAACTTCTGAACGGATAAGCTGACCATTGCTGTTCACTAGTATGTTTACACTTTCTACCACATCCAAGAAGACCTGATCACAAAAAATAGAGTCCATGAGTAAAGCATCATACTTCACAAAGTCATTATCGTAGCCTCTATATGTAAGAAGCAGAATAAGATAAGATACCTCATTTCTCTTGTATTTAATCCCTTCACTGCGCCAAGAAACTGCATTTGTGACAGCCATGGGTGGCCGCTGCACAACTTCCATCTTATAAGCATTCGTTTTGATGAACTCACTGAGGATTAAGGCTTCAGTGTATTGAGGATAACCGAAGTCCATCATTTCATCGAGAAGCTCATACTGAAGGGAAAAGGAAAGGATAACTTTCACAAATGCTAGCCATTCAATCGAAGTTTTTCTCTAATGATTAATATGAGTAATATGTAAAGTCCTGTTTTCAAAGTTTGCTGTCAGTACCTACCACAACAACAAAGTTGTCCCTCAGCGATTCCTCTTCAAATTCTTCGAAATAATGATTGAATACCTGCATACAGAACAGGCAGCCTAAACAGATATCCTCAAGCCATGATTATTACAGAATTCCCTACATCTATAAGTGTGTATCTAGAATCATTTATCGTCTATTATCATATATGACAGGCTCAATGGAGAGCTTAAAATGGGATACACCAACTTCAGTGTTGATCCTGAAGTAAAGTAAGAATCGTCTGCAATTTCAATAGTAAATTGCAGTCCCACTACAATATACGTTAGCAAAGTGCTACAAACTACACATTTTGCTTTCAAGGTCTGAAGGCTTCAAAACACGAATAGAGCATCAAGGGATCATCAATTTAAAATTAACCTGAATAACGCGATGGAGGAAAAGAAGAAGACTAGCAGCATTGCAATTCTGACGAGAGGCTGCCATCAAATAAAGATTTTTGTGCTGCACAAACATGTATGTCACCCCTTTCTCATGTACCACTGGCCCTTGGGAGATCACATCATCCTTTATTCATAAAAAATTCGTTAGTTTTGTTCCTTGTTCATTCTTTTACATAATTTATCATGATGACACTTACAAATGGTGTTACACTTATAATAGACTTTACCATGAAAAAATCAAAATATTTCAAAGTACTTTAAGCAAATGTAACAAGTGTTTTTTTTTAAAACTATCAGTTTATAACACAAAATCACAAACCAAAAACTATTCTCACAATTTAATGCACTGCTCCCGTGATCCCTTAGAAAATGTTGTCATATCACAAACACCTAGTAATAAACTCACACACTGTCTCACGTTCACAATGACGTAAAAGAAGTAAGGGACTGGCCATTTTGGCGGTCTTAGACCACGCAATAATATGAAACAATCAACGTGTTATGAAATCATAAATCTAAATAACAAGAAAAGAAAACCTGTTTTTGGACAAGGGTGGTGAAGAAGCGTTCGGCCTCAACAGATGTAACATCACCACGAAAATCGCGCCATATTAGAACTCGTCCCTTCACATCTAACAAGAACAATGCTGATGCTGCGCCTGCCATTTTCGCTTACCTACAATATCATGTATAAAATGGATGAATGATCGATCGATTGAATATGATCACAATATTCGAATCACTAATAATAATGTGATCATAATCTTCATCAATTCATACAATGTTGTTATTCAGTATTAATGGATTTGATGGTGATTTAATTTGATGATAATTGGATTATTTGGACAACATTTATAAGTTTTTGAATTTTAATTGAGAAATTTACAAAAAGTCAAGAAAGATGGAGAGGGTGTGTGTGTTTGATTATGCTGTGCTCTCCCACTTTCGTAGTTTCTTCTAACGGAAACGTGCATTATTTATGCGTCACGACTGATGATAATGTTTATTGGGTTTTATTTATTTTTTGTCGAGGAAATATTGGGTTTTTATTTATTAATTATTATTTTTTTAAATAAAAATAAAAATGGAGCGAGATTATATTAAGTTCCGCCAAAGTTGTGAGGCTTTGGGGAAAAGGTCCTAAACAAACAAACTCATCACATTTCTCAAGTATCCCATCTAGCAAATAAATGAGCTAGAGTATTTCCGGCTCGTTTTACATGACAACAATAAAAGAAATCAAAAGACAAGACATAGCAACAATGTCCCCAAGAGGGTCCCCCTACCTGAAGCCCCAAGAGGGTCCCCCTGCCTCAAGCCCCGAGAAGGGCTAACAGAGCCCGAAATTTGCCCATTTAATTTAAAAGCAAATTTAACACTTTGCAAACAATTCATAATTCTATTAATCCAG